CATGGGGACACTGGGGAGACTGGGGACACTGGGGACATCAATGGGGACACTGGGGGACATTGGGGACCAATGGGGACACAGGGACATCAGTGGGGACATCGATGGGGACAGCCATGGGGACACTGGGGACCAATGAGGACACTGGGGACAACCGTGGGGACACTGGGGGTACAATGGGGAACATCGATGGGGACAGTGGGGACATCGATGGGGACAGTGGGGACATCAGTGGGGACACTGGGGATACTGGGGACATCAATGGGGACACGGGGGATACTGGGGACCACTGACCAGTGAGTGACCCCTGGGTGACTACTCGGACAGTGGGGGGACCCATGGGTGTTGAGGTGACCCCCTGACCATCAGAGTGGCCCCCTGACCATTGGGGTGACCCCCTGGCCACCAAGGTGACCCCTGGGACATCAGAGTGACCCCCTGACCATCAGGGTGACATCAGGGACTTCTCAGGACATTAGGGTGACCCCTGACCACCAAGGTGACCCCCTGACCACCAAGGTGACCCCTGACCATCAGGGACTTCTCAGGACATTGGGGTGACCCCCTGACCACTGGGGTGACCCCCTGACCACCAAGGTGACCCCTGACCATCAGAGTGACCCCCTGACCATCAGAGTGACCCCTGACCATCAGAGTGACCCCCTGACCATCAGGGTGACCCCTTGGACATCAGGGACTTCCCACGACATTGGGGTGACCCCCTGGCCACCAAGGTGACCCCTGACCATCAGAGTGACCCCCTGACCACCAAGGTGACCCCTGACCATCAGGGACTTCTCAGGACATTGGGGTGACTTCTCAGGACATTGGGGTGACCCCTGACCACCAAGGTGACCCCCTGACCATCAGAGTGACCCCCTGACCATCAGTGACCTCTAGACATTGGGGGTGACTTCTCAGACATTGGGGTGACCCCTGGCCACCGGGGTGACCCCCTGACCATCAGAGTGACCCCCTGACCATCAGAGTGACCCCCTGGCCATCAGGGTGACCCCTTGGACATCAGGGACTTCTCAGGACATTGGGGTGACCCCTGACCATCAGAGTGACCCCTGACCATCAGAGTGACCCCCTGACCATCAGAGTGACCCCTTGGCCACCAAGGTGACCCCTGACCATCAGAGTGACCCCCTGACCATCAGGGTGACCCCTGACCATCAGGGACTTCTCAGGACATTGGGGTGACTTCTCAGACATTGGGGTGACCCCTGGGACATCAGAGTGACCCCCTGGCCACCAAGGTGACCCCCTGGCCACCGAGGTGACCCCCTGGCCACCGGGCTGACCCCATCCCCGCCCCCCTGTCCCCAGTGAGCCGCTCTGGCGAGGACGAGTCCCAGGAGGACGTGCTGATGGACGAGGCTCCCTCCAACCTCAGCCAGGCCTCCACGCTCCAGGCCAACCGGGAAGGTGGGCTGGGGGCTCTGGGGGGGATTTGGGGGGTTTTGGGGGGTCTCACACCCACCCCAATCCCTCCCCACAGATTCCATGAACATCCTGGACCCCGAGGATGAGGAGGAGCACACGCAGGAGGAAGACAGCAGCGGCAGCAACGAGGATGAGGATGACAGCCAGGACGAGGAGGAGGAGGAGGAGGAGGAAGATGAGGATGATCAGGTGAGGGTGGGGGTGGGGGGATTCCCAAAATAAGCGGGGTCCTCTCTGGAGCTG